ATGTGCAGTCGATCGTACATATGTGAATGTGTGAAAACGCAATGTGTAGTCGCTGACCGTACATATGTGAATGTGTAAAAACGCAATGTGTAGTCGCTGACCATACATGTACATATGTAAATGTGTGAAAACACAATGTGTAGTCGCTGACCATACATATGTGAATGTGTGAAAATGCAATGTGTAGTCGCTGACCATACATGTACATGTGTAAATGTGTGAAAACGCAATGTGTAGTCGCTGACCGTGAATGTGTGAAAACGCAATGTGTAGTCGCTGACCATACATATGTAAATGTGTGAAAACACAATGTGTAGTCGCTGACCATACATATGTGAATGTGCGAAAATGCAATGTGTAGTCGCTGGCCATACATGTACATATGTAAATGTGTGAAAACGCAATGTGTAGTCGCTGACCGTGAATGTGTGAAAACGCAATGTGTAGTCGCTGACCATATATATGTAAATGTGTGAAAACGCAATGTGTAGTCGCTGACCATACCTACCGTTAAAATCCTATTATAAACCGCATACCTAATAGTAACCGCACCCCGATTTCGGCCTCAGTGTTAAAGAGTTCTCAACAAAAATTGATAACATGAAAAGTACCTATTAGTAACCGCACCCCCAATTCAACAAGACCGTGACCAACTTTGTTTCAACGAGCTGGTACATTGTTCCTAATCCTATTCATTTGTTTCGACAACATGCCTAAAAATATTCACACCTCTTAATTGTTCAGTAGTGTTAGGATGTCAAACACGTGAAACTGCTTTTGTCTTGTGACAACTTTTGTCAATACTCCTTATGAATACGTCCGTATGTCGCAAGTTTTCGACAATAAGCTGTTCTCACCGAAAAACTGTTAAATTCTTTTTCAATGCTCAGTTTATCTTTCGAAAACAACTAATTTCTTGATTTAAAAAAAAGTCATGTCGTTTTCTTATGGAAATCAAAGCCAAAAGATCGCACTACATTATCGGTAAATCTTTTCCGGGTTTCGTTCACCATGAAGTCGGTGACCTGTCATTAACATATTTAAATGAACTAAGGTAATTTGAACATGTGGGCACCATCCAGCATTTTGATTGATTAATTAGCGACTTGACCTACCCGGTCAAGTAATGTCTCGTGTGCAAATTCAAACTACATGGTGGATGTCGCATCGATC